CTCAGCCGATGGGTTTGATGTGTTCCTTTCTGATGTCACAGCTCGCAGTTTTTCAAAGCGCCTTCGGGGCCCTCTTCCTGTGGGCGCCTTTCCATGCTTCATCGTGGTACCTCGTTGGTGCGCAAAAGGGTCTTGGCTTGTTTAGCATCCACGAGATCCTTTAGCTACATCTATTGCTGAGGCAATGAAGGTTAACAAGACTCTGACCCATTTGTGGCTGTGGGGCAATGGCATTGGTGACGCCGGTGCTACGTCTATTGGCGAGGAAATCAAAGTCACTGAGACTAACAAATCTAGATGTGTCGCAATGCGGTTTTAGTGCTGCGGGTGCTGCATTTGTTGCTAAGGCAATCAAAGTCAACAAGACTCTGACTAGTTTGGATTTGTGGTGCAATCGTATTAGTGATGACAGTGCTATATCTCTTGCTGATGCAATCCAGGTAAATAAGACTCTGACCAAAGTAAATTTCGCGAACGATGGAATCGGTAATGCTGGCGCTGAATCTGTAGCTGTGCAATGAAACCCTGATCGACCTGAATTTGTCCAACAATGACATCTGTTATATCGGTGGTATATGTATTTCCGAGGGAATCAAGGTCAATGAGATTTTGACTAGTTTGGATTTATCGTGCAATAACGTCAGTGGTGTCGGTGCTACATCTATTGCCGAGTCAATTAAAGTCAACAAGTCTCTGAACTCTTTGAAGATATGGAGTAATGGTATTTGTATTGCTGGTGCTATTTCTATTGCAGAATCAATCAAAATCAACAAGTCTCTGACCTCTTTGAACAAATGGCGAAATGGCATTGGTGATGCTGGTGCTACTTCTATTGCAGAGGTAATCAAAGTGAACAAAACTCTGACCTAGTTGGATTTGTCGCACGATGATATCGGTGAGTTTGGTACTTCTTCTATTGCTGAAGCAATCAAAGTCAATGGTACTTTGACCGATTTAGATTTGTCGCACAATAACATTGGTGATGCTGACGCTGCATCTATCGCTGAGGCGATTAAAAGTCAACGAGACTCTGATCAGTTTGAACTTGAGCCACAGTGATGTTGATGATGCTGGTGCTATATCTATCGCTGACTCAATCAAAGTCAATGATACTTTGTCTAGTTTATATTTGTCTTTTAATGTTATCGCAGATGCCGGTGCTACATCTATTGCTGAGGCAATCAAAATCAATAAGACTTTGACCACGTTGGATATGTGTTTCAATCGTATAAGTGACGCCGTTGCTGTGTGTATTACTGAGGCAAACTTTATGGTCTAACAGTTAGTACATTCGTAATAAACTAATAAATTAGAAGTGTTTGGCAATTACTGAAATGACTAAATGTTTAGGAATTGTCTATGTATGTTAGATTATCTTGAAATATTTATATGCGAGTCTTGTGAGCCTTGGTTTGTTATGTGCTGCAAGACCACACGATTATTTGTGTCCTTCGAGTGATGTGTTTTTGACCGTTGCTGTGGGACTTACGAGCGACTTTTTTTCAAGACTGCGTGAGAGGTGGCACATTGACCGAAAACGGCTATCTTTATATTTCAGTCAGATACACCTTATAATGACTTAGAAACCTGGTAGGGTTTTTTTTTCATACTTGCCTCTTTATCCTAGTAAACAGAAAGGAGCGTTGTTAGCCGTAAAATGACTGAAAATTAGTGCATCGAGTAGAGACAAATGAACTTTGCTCATGAAAAGTATAAAAGAAAGTAAATTTGTATCGGAGTGATCGAGAAATGGTTTTTAAGTCTAAAACGGGACCATTTCATCGAATTCGGAGTTCACGGCCCGCCTTTGAAAATTATCAATATTTCAAGTTGCATTTCGTAGCAAATTTTCGATTAATATTTTCCCCATGCGGTGTGACTCAGAATCGGCTCAGGTTAAGCTCATGATAAGTGGAAATAGTTTTGTTTTCGAGGATATAAATATTAGTTTGGGGCTTTTCGTTTCCACAGAGAAATACCAGGCTGAACTTTATAAAAATCGCAGCATCGTCATTTACGTCACGGCATAATCTAATCAGGCACCCCATTGTTAAATCCGAAATTCCGAGCAAATTTTAGCAGTTACCACCGTGTTCGATCAGGAAATCAATACAGTCAACTAACTTTTTATCCCAGCCTTAGTTTCAAACTTTCATCCATTTTCCGTGGCGAAATTGTTTACAATTACACATTCCTTAAGCTGGTGACAGGAGTTTGTTTTTCTTTATATATTCGAACCAATTAAGATTTTAAGAAAGTTCTAGGATAAAAAAAAATGGGCTTCATTCTGGATTTGTAAGAGGACGATTAAATCATTTAATTGGGTAGGTCAACAGTTCTTTGCCAAAGACGTTGAAGACGGGTAGCAATCTGATATTAGTGTAGGAGTAACACGCTCATGCGTTTTTCGCGTAAGGCTGAAATTATTTCGATCACAAAAAAAATATTGTCTTGTTCCCTTCTTGCGGTTTTTTGACTGCGAAAATCAAAATCATAAATC